GCCAGCTTCTCCACCCCGACCTGCAGTCACTGCACCTGAGGCTCTGTGGCTAAACACTCTGGAGAGCCAGTGCTCCCTTCCTGTGCAGCAGATTCTGCTTGGAAGTAGAAAGACCTGTACCAGGGCGACCTATATGGCCAAGTGGAAAAGGTTCTCATGTTGGTGTGAACCCCAACAGGTGCGGCCAGGCCAGGCCCCGGTGCAGGCCATCCTGGAGTACCTCCTGCACCTCAAGCAGCAAGGGCTAGCCCCCGTCCTCACTCAGAGTACACCTGGCGGCCATCTCCACCTTCCATCCGGGGTTCTCGGGGGGCTCAGTGTTTTCCCACCAATGGTGGGACGGTTCCTTAAAGGGTTGGAGAGGATGTTTCCGTACTCACGCCCCCCAGTCCCTCCATGGAACCTTAAGCTGGTCCTCTCTAAACTCATGGGACCCCCTTTTGAGCCTCGCTTCCTGTTCTCTCCTCCATCTTTCCTGGAAGGTGGCATTTCTGGTTGCCATTACCTTGGCCAGAAGGGTGTCCGAACTGAGGGCCCTCACCTCTGAGCCACCGTATACAGTATTTCACAAGGACAAGGTGCAGCTCCGACTGCACCCCAAGTTCCTCCCTAAGGTGGTCTCCCAATTCCATTTGGGCCAGCACATTTGTCTGCTGGTGTTCTTCCTGAAACCCCATACAGACCCGAGTCACTGCAGCTTGTACACCCTGGATGTGCGTTGAGCGCTGGCGTTCTATTTGGAGCGCACTAAGCCCTTTCGTAAATCCGCGCAGCTGTTTGTGGCTGTAGCGGAGAGGATGAAAGGCCTCCTAGTGTTGGCGCAGCGGATGTCGTCTTGGATTACAAGCTGCATCTGGGCATGCTGTGAGGTCGCAGGTGTTTCGGCCCCGGCAGTCACTGCCCATTCGACCAGGGCGCAAGCGACTTCCGCGGCGTTCCTGCCACAGGTCCCGATCCAGGAGATCTGCAGAGCAGCCACCTGGTCCTCAGTGTGCACCTTCACGACCCACTATGCAGTCAACAAGCAGGCCAGAGCGGATGCGGCAGCTGGCAGAGCGGTCCTCTGAGCAGTTGTTCCGTGACTCCTACCCTCCTTCGGAGGTAAGCTTGTAATTCACCTAATGTGGAATGGACATGAACAAGCACTCGAAGAAGACAAAACGGTTACTTTCTCGTAACTGTTGTTCTTCGAGATGTTGTTCACGTCCATTCCACCACCCACCCTCCTACCCCTCTGTCGGAGTCGCCAGCAAGAAGGACCCGGAGGGGGTCAGGGCGGCAGGGGTATATATGCACAGCGCAGTGGCGCCACTCGGGGGGCCCCGCCGGCCCAACAGGAGTCTCTAAGGGAAAAAGTTTCCGATGCTGGTGCACGCAGCGCATGCACACCTAATGTGGAATGGACGTGAACAACACATCTCGAAGAACAACAGTTACGAGAAAGTAAGTAACCGTTTTTTCACATGGAAAGTGCAGAGAAAGTAGGGAGAAACTTGGGACATGGCCTTAGAGTTACTTTGTCTTTAAAAAAAAAAAAAAGAAAAAAAAAAAAAAGCCATGAATGATGGATGTGCCATCAGGGCCACTATTTCTCCTATGTGCCTAGCTGAGGTGATGGCAATTAGAAATGCTGTCGTCATGGACAGGTGTAAGAGAGAACAAGTTGCCCTGGACTCGGAGAAAGGTCTAGTCAAAACCCTGAGAACTAAGTTAAAGTCCCAGGCTGGAGCAGGTGGTGTCACACGGGGGAAGAGATTCCCAATGCCCTTAAAGAATCTACGCATTAGTGGGTGAGCAAACACCAAGTGGGAAGCTGTTTCGCCACAAGATGTGCCTTAAGGGAGCTGAGTGAGCGTTTAAAAAGTAACGCAAAATCAAAGGGAGGAAAGATGAGGTTGGGTCTGTGTGTTTGGAATAACACAAACTTGGAGTCATTTCCATTTTGTAGATCAGTATGTTGCGTGGTCAACTTGTGGTCGTGTTGCAACCCGTCTTTCAGCTCGTCATTCTGCCTCTAAGCCTTGGAACTAAGAAGGAACCAAACCTGGAGGCAGAGGACCTGCAGGTTGGGGTGAAGGGTCAGCCCATTGTTTTGAGGGAGCAGGTGAGGAATAGGCTGAATAGAAACAGAAGGGCATATAGTGTGATGGTGGGCAACAATGAGGGGCCAGGGAATGATCTCCTGGCCAGTGTCAATTGGTAAGGGTGCCGCTGACTGGGGTATTGGCAGTAGACACCCAGAATTGCTCTTGGCACCGGGCTGTAGGGATGTGCTCAGTACCGGGGTCCTGGTACCAAGTAATGGGGATTGCGTTTCTTCCCCAATCATCAGGTCTCCAGGGTACCAGAGCTCGTGCATCACCATGGGTTCATTTGGTACCACATAGGAGTGTCTGTGGTACGTTGTCAGTACCGATAGATGGGCAGAGCACTCCCTAAATGAGTGTTGTTGTCCCCAGTATAGAAAGTTTGTTGATGCCACTATATTTTAGAGATGGTACAGTAATTGTCCCTCCCTGGGTACTGAGGCCACAGGTTTCCAGAGCACGTGTGTTACCATGGGCTTATGTGGTACCACAGAGGAGTGTCTGTAGTATGTTGTCAGTATTGATGGCTGGGAAGGTGCAGAACACTTCCTAGATGGGAGTTTTGTTACACTTGATACCAAAGGGTTTCTTGGTGCTGCTCTTTTAGAGATGGTATGGTAACTGTCCCCTCTCTCATCTCAGAGTATGACTGGAAGCCCCTGGCGCAAGACAGTGCCATGGGGACTGTGCTGCAGGGCAGCACTTACAGCAGAAAGCCCCTTTCAGGTGCCTGCTTCAGAGCTGCCACAGCAGAGCTCACTGCAGGAGGTCCCTCTGCTGGTGTCTTACCGAGGTGGCCGCTCTGGGGAGCCCCGCTGGCTGGCCAGTTGCTCAGAGGAGCTCTTTTTACAAGCCTTTCTGCGGGGAGTCTGCTGGTGGCTTTTCTTTCTTTCCCCTCTCTCCTCCTCTTCACCACTTGACCCCTTTTGAATTGAGGGCTCCGGGGATGATCCCGGGTCAGCACCCACCGGAGTCCCCTGTAGACTGAAGTGTTTTCTCCACAGGGAGGAGTTTTAACTTCAGCTCCTGCGAGGCTGCTGTTTTAGCTGTGGCAGGTAAAGCACCTCTATGAGGCTCTCCCAGGCACAGTGAGTGTCTGGCCATTACAGGAACTGACTCCTGGCAGGAGAGGCACCGCTTGGAGCAGAGAGAGCCAGGCAAGCTCCTGGGCAGGGAGGAATGCAGAAGAGCGTTGTCTTTTATTTTCATAATTTTTTTTTCCAGTTTAAAAAGAAAAGTCTACTAGATGCCTGGGGGGGCGGGGGGAGGGGGAATGTCCCTGGAGAGAGCAGAAAACTGAAGTTCTTTTCCCTTTTTTTTTTAACCCCAAAGGAATAAAATAAAGAAACACTAGCTTAACAAAACACTACTTATGCTAATGACATAGATAAGGAAGAGGCTGCTTGTTCCCTCAGAGGCCAAAGGTGGAAGAGAAGGAAGAGAGGGGGGTTTGCCCATGCAGTGCTAAATAGCCTCCAGGCAGACCATGAGGAAGGGAGAGTACATGCATGAGCTCAATGGGGACACTGCTACCAAAAAATCTCCGATTAGAGGTGCAGGGGCACACAGACACCTAAAGTGGAGCACCCCTAGGGCCACTACTCAAAGAACCACCCCACTTCTTCAGATGCATCCACAAAAGCTTATGCCCAAATAAATGTCAGTCTTTAAGGTGCCACCAGACTCCTTGTTGTTTTTGTGGATACAGACTAAGATGGCTACCCCTCTGATAGAGAGAATCAGGAAGGAAGTTGTAGTGGAGTTCCTATTTACAATATTTATTGGATGCTGGAGCAGGCTCCTGTGGGCCTGCAATACCTTCAGGAGCTAGGTGTGCAGCAGAGTGCCATGTAGCCATCTCTGATGTCTGCCATTACCAAAGGTAACCCTCAGCAGTAGAGGTACAAGGAAAGTGTGAACAGAGACTGAGACTCGAGCCTGCTGTCTGAATAAACCGAGGAAGGGAGGGGAAGTAACTTCCCTGAGCGCATGCCGCTGGCTGGCAGCTGGATTGGGAACAGAACTTTTATCCAGAGTCCCAGGCCAGCACCCTCATCCCTCAACCCCCTGTCTGTCTTTGGGGCTCTGCTCCAGAGGCAGGTTGAGGAAGTTTGTCTCCCTAGGGAAATTTACCAGCAGAACTGTATGGGTGTAATCTCCCTGCCAAGGGCCTCCTACGGTCAAGATAGGATGCCTTCTTCTGCTGATAGCACATTCAAAGTGTCATAGGGAAGAGGCACTGTTATTCCTAAGTGCCCACCTGGGGAGTTAAACCAGTATAACACTGCTGGGAAAGTGTCCCACTAGCCCAGCCCAAAGAGATTTCTTTTCACAGGGCTAGAGTTAATCTTAAAGATACTCTGCAACTTTTTAGGGTAGAGTCAGTGGGAGTTGCATCCTGCAGTGAGGTGTATAGGTCCTCTGCAGGCCGGCCTAGGGAGCTGGCGCCTATGCACTCTACTGGGACTGCCCCGAGCCTATTGTGTGTGGGAAACATAAAACAGAGCTAGCTTTCTCAAGTAGGGAGTGATGCTGTATGCAGCAGCCCCTGTGCTGCTTTAGGCATTCAGCCCCCAGAGTTTTAGGAAGCACCTGCGAGTCCCTAAATAAGCTGCTATCATTTCAGTTCGCACAGCAATAAGGGCACACTGCAGTATCCCTATGAGGGTCATTATGGCAACATGCTGTAAGAGTAGGGGGTGCTGCCTAGTGAGACCAGTACTCGGTACAAACCACTGCACTAAGAAATGGGTGCAATGTCTCATCTGGGCCAGAGGCCCTCCTGCAGTGCATCATGTACTTCCCAAACCAATAGGGGCAATCCACCAGCCTCAACCTCCTTGGCCTGGGGGTTCTGTATGGACACACTACCCCTCGCACAAGCCCCAGCTCACTGGCTCTCTTCTGTTGCAGTCGGAGGCCTTGCAGCAGCTACGCCAGGAGTCGGAGATCATTTGCAGCCGCTACGCACACTACTTTGACCTGTCACTAGTCAACAACGGTGTGGATGAAAGCCTCAAGCTGCTACAAGAAGCTTTTGAGCAGGCCTGCAGCTCACCCCAGTGGGTACCTGTCTCCTGGGTCTACTGAGCAGTTGTCCAACCCTGGCAGCTTCCTGTTACTCCCATCCTGCAGAATGGAATGGTGGGAAACCCCTGATCTACATAGTGCAACACCCAGTCCCCTTTCCTTTTAACGTTCTATGGCCCCAATCTCACTTGGTCTATTATGCACAGGGTAAGTGCAGGGATCTCCAAGCTCAAGCCACCAGTCCTTGTGCATCAGCACTACTGTAGTGTGAAGCCTTCTCCCTGGCATGTTGTTTGGGGGAGAAATTCTATTTTATCTTAGGGGTTGCATCCTAGTGCTACACAGGTGGGGCTATATAGCATCCCTCCACTCAGCAACACTCCTACTGATCACACAGGGATGCTTTCCCAGTGACTGAGGGGGAAAATAGGGGCCTGCTCCAGTAGCTATTTTGCACTGTGCTTCACTCTTGAGGAAGACAGGATGAAGGCACTTCTAACACCATCAGCTCGGAATCTTATTTGGCCATTTGCACATTGTTATCTGATGCAGCTGGGCAGAATGCACTGTTTGAAAATCCTGGCCCTAGGCTTCAGAGTCTGCACATGCTTGAGCCAAGGGGGCAGTTCAGATTACACAGAGCTGTTCTTTCAGGCTAAGCCAGTGCTACCACAGCTTGTATTCCAAGGGTTTTCTTCACAACCAGAAGGGCTAATTATTTTTAACTGTGAGCTGGAGTTGGTCACCCCAGGGGCTGGTCTTCCATGCTGGATGTGTGGAGTTCCTGTGCAGTTATAACTTGACACCTCTGACCATAGACACCACTAAGGCAACAATGATTAAAATAACCCCTGGAGTCAGTAAATTAGATTGTCTGGACCCAATCATCTATCCATTACATTACATAGCAACAAGAGAGACTATCCAGGCACATTCACTGTGTCCAAGGAGTGCACCTACTCCATACGTGCACATACCCCAACCTCCACTTGTGGGGCTGCTTAAGCCCAAGACCCCCTCTGGTGCCAGAACTAAGTGTTGCCAGCAGGATAGTGCTAGGGGCCCCTTTGGAGCAGCAATTCTTCAAACCATAATCAATGTCTAGCTCAAAGGACCTTTTTGTGTGCTTTATTGTCAGGAAGGGTAGAGGGAAAGGGGATTAACATGTCTGAAATCTACAATTTTTAAGAATGCCAAAAAACCTGATAATGTGCAATAGGGACCTTTATTCTAGTCCACTGCAGGGAAACACCACATAGCAATAAAAGTGTTGAAGTGGTTGCTTGGTTTCATAGTTTGTACTGAGCTCAATAGGTCACTGCAGCATCTGTCCAATGAAGTGCTCCCCAAGGAAACAGCTGAACTACAGTGAGGTATTCCCTGCCCTTAGGACACTGCCATCTGAGCTGCACACCTCTCTGCCCTTCAAGAGCAGAAAAGCTACAGGACTGCTCCACACTGGCCCTTAAAGGGGCAGGGAATCACTGCTCAATTTATTCTCTGACACAGGACCAGCACAAGCTGGCTTTACTCCCTACACTTAACAAGAGCACTCACCCCTGCCCCTTTCCCTCCCACCAAACAGCAAAAGTCAGCCTTATTATGAAGGAAGTTAGGGCAAAGCCAGCAATATGCATGTGTGGGTTGGTTCACAAACAGTCTCAGTGCCCTTTTAAAGGAATAGGGCCTTCCAATGCAAAAATCCCATGTTCCAAGCTGGCCAAGGTAGGTGCTGACCAAAACAAATTGGTAATTTAGTCAGTTCCTATTAGAAGATTCCAGAGCAGTACCATCATTACCTTTGCAATCAGTCCTAGCAGCCAGCACCAACCATCCTCTCCCCTGCAGCTCCTTCTCCCTGGGAAAGGAGGCATAACTAAGGACAGAATGGGGAAGAGGCCTGTCTCCTAGTAGCCCCCACCTCAATGCAGAGTTGGCCAATTAACTGAAGCACTGCCTCCTACCCAGCTTGAACAGCAACAAGTCAACACTTGAAAAATAGTTTATTTGTTTACTTTTTATTAAAAAAAAAACTAATAAAAATCACAACTTTCTTTTCCCTTAAATCCCTGACAGCCCCCAGCTGTGCTCACCACATGTGTGTCTCCCTAGTACTGGAGAAGGGGAAAAAAGAGCAACACACAGTTAGGCAACTTTAGGCCTTTACTTCAGATGGTATTTGCTCAATGCAGAGCATCCTACCCCTCCCTGAAGGGGTTAAAATAGGTATAGGGATAAATCCAGTCACCCAGTAGCACCAGCAACCCACCACCTCCTGCCCGTGAGGCACCCCAGCAAGAGAACCTCGGTGCTTTGTTTGGAACAGACCATCTGCTGCCCACAGCACATTCAGCTTCAGCCAGCCGAGGGCTGGTGCCAAAGGCCTCCAATCGCCATACGCACTACCATTTAGAGAACACATGACCAGCCGACATTTTCCAGATCATACAGGGCCTCTGGGCCCAGAGATCTGTCCTGTCTCTCCATTCCAGAATTGATTACGTGCCAATACTGGGAAGGAGGGCTGAGGCAGTGGTGGACATGGCCGTCAGAACATGTAAATGGGAGTTTGATGAACAGCAAATGGAGCCAGGTCCCTGCACTTTGAAACAAAATGGGAGAAACCTCAAGTACAAATTCTAAGCCTACACAAACTGAAAACATGTACCTAAAACATCTACCCTCCTGGGGGAGACACTGGGACTTGGCTAGTCGAGACTCAAGCCAAGCACTGCAATTTAAAACCAAAGAACTTAAAATAGCCAGTGTGATCATCCAGACCCCGGACGCTGCTCCAAGAGGGCGAGTGGCTCAGGCCAATTCCTTCAGCTGTAAGAACATTCTCTGTCAGGGTAATGGCTCCCGGACCCACGAACAGAAGGAAAGGCAGGACTAGGAAGGGAGGCATTATCTCCATTTGTGGAAATAGCTCAAAACACTGGAGGTTAGGAGGGCCCATGTTTAGCAGAAGCTGCTGGTTCTCTGAGAAGAGTTTTATACATATCGAGGCAACCAGCTTAGCAGAGCAGAGTCCAGTGCAGTGAGTAAGTTTTACACTCTTCCCTCCAGCCACCCTTAAAACAGGATGAGGAGAGGCTTATGGTGAGCTTGCTGAGCCACACTGCAGACATGCTTTTGTTTGTGTAAGCAACGGATTAGAAGCCTCATCACCCTTCTGCAGGCAGTGTTTCTGCATTGCTGGGGAATAGCTTTTGTTATTTCTGTCTTCCATCCAAAGCAGATGGCCTTGTCTGGCTGGGAGGGATCTAGCCACTTACTCCGAGCTCTCTTCAGCTTGCTTTTGTTTCTTCTTCTTCTTCTTCTTCTTGGTGCTGGTGTCACTGGCCTGCAGAGAAGATGGATCTCAGGAAGGGTGTCTGGGAAGGAATCACTGCTGATTTGTGACACCTTTCAGCAAGGACTAATGAGGTATTTATATAAGGATTCATCTTAACTACCCCCCAGGAGCTCTCATCCATGAGGGAAGAGTGACATACCATGCTGACACTCCCCTATCCAAGGCTCCCCAAAACAAAATCTGCCTGGCAGGGTAATTACCAACATGCAATGCACCAAGTCCAGGAGCATGTACACTGGAGAAGCAATTGCCACTCCACACCAATAGGCATCTAGCCTGGTGCTCTATCTCCAACTGTGCACTACTCCAGAGGCACCAGAAGAAGGCATAATAATCTCTGCCAGACAATTGTGAAAAAGATACCCCAGGAGCAGATTATTCCTAACCCATTAAACAAGGGCAGTCTGTAACAGCCCCTTCCACACCCTGCCCTACAGATTAATCTGTTTATCCATGGCAGGCCAGCCCCCAGGGACAGACAATGGTGCCAACTAAGCTTAGCTATATTGAGGCGGCTTGCAGTGATGTAACTCTATACTGATGGGGGAAAGCAGCGACCTACATGGACAAATTAAATAGGTGTCTCAGGGTTTGTAAGTATCACTAAGAGGGGTGTACAAGTAATGCAGTGCAGCCACACTCCTAGCTCTGCAGCACCATCAAGCTACCTACCACTTCCATTAGCTCCCCTCCGCTCTCTGCAGCTTCTTTGGCTTTCTTCTCTTTTTTCTTCTTTTTCTTTTCCTTCCTGCTCTGCTCCTCTGGTTGCGGAGTGGCCGGAGAGGATGGAGCCACTGATGCCTCATTTTCACTCTCTGTCTCCCGCTTTCTCTGTTTAAGATTAAAGCCAGCATCAGATCAGCTCTCTGTAACAGGAGGCCTGTCTCAAGTTCAGATGACAGACCCCACATACAGCTTAGGGCTCCACATTCTTCCAGTCTCTGCTATGTCATCTGTACGCAAAGTGACAGAGCCCAAAAACAGGTCCAGGGTTGGCTCCCCAAAGATAACCTGCTTCCTTTGGTAACACGCACATGCTGGTTGGGCTTTTTCAACTGGGATGAACTGCACCAGACTAGGATGGGGGCTAGTGACCCTGGAATCCCATGAGCGCAGCTCTGCATTCAGATTCTGGGCCATGGTCTTGAGCCATCTTTAGGGCTCTTGTTCCCAGATCTTGTCCCCCAATGAATTCAAAGCCTGGCGACGTAACACTAACCACACAGGTGAATATGGATAACATATGAAAGTCCACTCTGCTGGACAAATTGAAGGAGACTCCAAATGTTAACTCTGCCTCCCCCAAAGAAAACAACATAGGAAAGCATAATTCACGGGATCAATCTGCCAAGGCAGAGATGTTCATTTGACAATACACAGGTCTGAAATGGATGTTACACGAAAGCAGCCTGTGGTACTTACTTTTGGTACTCTCTCAGCCATTGCTGCTGGGGCTTCTGCCTCTTTCTTCACAGCAACACTAAAAGGAGGAAAACACCTCTGAGTTGAATGTGTGAATACTGCCAATCAATCCTATACGTTCAGATTTACTGTCCTCCCTCCTAGATGCTTGCTGCAAACCAAGCTACATCCCTCAGCCTCCTGCTGCTACACAGTTGACACACTACAGCTCCTTTTTCTGATTGCTATGTTATACAACACTCGGCAGTGTACGGAAAGCCTGCAGCCCACATCAGTGCCTAACTGTGCTGGACAAAGGCAGAGCCTCCCCTGTTTAATTTGGCAGACTGACTCCCTCTAGAGCCACAGGTATCAAGCTAGAAAGGGATAACTGTCTGCTCACTTGGTTTGTCTGGAATAGCACCTCCCGTTATTCCTCCAGGGCAGTGCTCCCTAGGGATGGCAAATAACCGCATTGCAATTAACATACTTTGAAAAGGTATTATGTTGCTTGACAGTATTTTTAACATGCTATATTCAACCCCCGTGACCTTTTATACCCCAAACTGACATTTTCCAGCAGAAGTCAGCAATATGCCCTAAGGAAGTGGCACTCTAAGATGCCACAGCAGAGACTGAACACATGCAATTCACCCCTCTGCCCTGTCCCTCAAACAGGTCTCTGGAGCGCTGTGCATTACCTGTAGTCCACATACTCCTTCTTCCAGGAATCTGGCGTGCTCTCATTGGGCTTGCCATGCTTGCTCAACAGGCCCTGCTTGATCATCATCATCTTTTGACTTGCCTGGCGTGAAAATGCAGAGAGAAAAGGTCATATTCTAGCTTCAAAGGAGCTATCATTTCTAGTTGGAGAAGTCACTTGGCATGTGATGACACACTGTGGAAGAGAACCAAGTTCATGATGAAACCTTTACCAGGTCAGAGAGAGAGACAAATATGTCCTCAAAGAGCCTCTGATAGCACATCGCAAATTATCATTGTTACTTAGGAGTTTATTTCTTGGCTGATGTCATTCTTCTATTTGCAACACCGGTTAATTAAAGTAGTAGTATTCCAGAAAAGATTATTTTACCCTCCCACTGTGTCACTGCATGAGAAGGAACTGCAAGCAAATTGGAGCAAGTCTTCTACTGTTACAGACCCAGCTATACATAAATGCTAATCATATGTGCATCAGGCACATGGGTAAGTGGAATTGTGCAAGAGAGATGGAAGTGGTATTTCTGCTGCTCCTGGAGCCCCTTTCAACAGACTTTAGTACTCTGCCACATGGCCACAATATACTGCGTCTCTAATGCTATTTTGAATTTCAATGGCACCTTTCATTAGAGCACTTGAAGCATTCTTACAGACACTACTTCAGCCTCTCAAGAGTGGGGGGCATGGAGCATCTTCTAATTCTTCCACAAGCCATCAGTATTGGGTGATAGATTTAAGTCATCTTTGCACACAGTGCTAACGTCAGCTACATCACATCATTTGGCTCTTCCTGGAAGAATTTGCAGCACAGACTAAAATCAGTCTGATCCTGGCTTAGCCTAGTCAAGATCTAGTCTACACCACCAACTGGAACCAGACTTTTAACCAGGTTAGGGACAGCCCAGTCCTCGGACATGGTTATAGCTGTGCAGACATAGCCCAAAGAGCCCTACAGTCTCACAGCAGGAGCAAAACTGATCAAGCCTTTTTCATCTTCTTGGCTTCAGAGGGTTTAGACAAACTACATATGTTTGTAAATGGTGGTGACAAACTGGAAGCCTTTATCTAGGACCTGCTACTTTGTAAGAGGCTGCTTTGAACCAATTTCCAACACCACACAGCCTCCCACCCTTAGTCTCACCTTGGGACCAAGACCCCATTTGCGGGGGTAAGTGTCTCTTTCCATAATCACCCTCTTGATCTTTGCCACTATACCGTGGTCACAGGTAGAAATCACTGCAGTGGTCATCAAGGCAACAGCTGCATTAATGAAAATGAAAAGAATGAACATTTAGGCACAAAAGAGCAATACTGGCCAGCTATTGGATTCAGTCTCCTATGACTCAGCGTTATGGTGGTGCAGAGATGGGCTACAAAGATGGTATTCCCAAGACTGACATCCAAAGGGATGCAATTTTCATCAGCCCCCTACACAATTACCCAAGAAGTCCATCCAACTCACGCCCTGGACAGGCTTCCACTTGTAACTCACTCCCTGTCTGGTTCATCATCAGGGAAGTACAAACTGGGGAACTCTAGATCTAAAAGCAGGAGCATCTACTGCCTGAGCTAAAAGACTCAGATCTCGTAGCTAAGATTGTAGCAGGTTTACCAACCACTATGTGGCTCAGCCCCCAGCAGAGCAACGGATGCGGGTTCACAGACTAGCTAGGAGTGAATTGTTACGCCACCCAGTGGTGTCCTGTATTGGATACAGGGCATAAGCAACACACACACACCACTGCTCATTGTCAGACGTAAACTCAGTCAGGATGGCACCTTAGTCCTTATTACCTAGGCAAATTCTTTGCTGCAAGTATCTGGTAATAAAAAAGACATTAGTACAAAATAACAGTGCACACCCATTCAGCAGCCATCCAAGATGCATCATTTCTTTATACTAGATTTGTTAGGAGAGAGAAGTTCACAGGCAGCAGTATGTGATCAGAGAGCATCACTCGTCTTGGTCGAGATGGAGCCCCCATGGAGAGGGGCTCCAGCTCTGCTGGCTCTGTCCCGCTCCTGCAGGCAGCCAGCCACACCCTCAAGCAGCCCCCAGTAGAACACTGAAAGGCTGGAGGGTATTTGGAGACTGCACAGCACAGAGACCCTAGAACAGGAATCTAGGTGCTGCAGGGAGGGCAGTGCAGCAGTACTCAGAGAATGGATAAACTTCATCATCATTTCACATACAGTGGTGTGCTTGAAAGCCCAGGACACAGGAATGGAGTGATATAGCTAGGCTTGGAAGCATTAGACTTTTACTGCTAAGTGTCGATAATTGTCAATTTCACTGTATACAAACTAACCAAAATATATTTCCATTGATTTCTTTCTTTGCCTAAGAACTTAAGAATTTGATTTAAAGATATTTATTTTGTACATTTTGACATATAATGTTGACAATGTGTTTTAACAGTGGTAACACTAACTTTCTGAATCTTAACGTGTCATTAAATTATCTGTCCTACCACAATTTCGCACAACTGGGAAAATTTAAATTGATAAAAATAGAAAAAACACATTATAGAGCAATAAAATCTGTTACTGTACCAGATACCAGAGTTATAACTAGGCCATTATTTCTCAGCTGGTATCACTGACCTCTCTAAGCAATGTTGTTCTCACACTTCTAAGGGTAGCAAGTCATAGTTATTCCATTGACAGCATCCCATCATTTCCCACCACGAAACACAGATGAAAGATTCCAGCCATGGCGAGTGCCATCCCGCCCCCCATGAAATGCTCAAGCCACCCATGTTTGTTACAAGCTTCTGAAGATGTTCTATTGCTCTGGCTTTACGGCCAAGTAGCTAGCTCAGTGGCTGGAGGAAGAACATTGACCTCTTCTTACCCATGCAGATGGCCTCCCCTTTAGTGGTGATGACGACAATCTCCTGATTAATCTCAATGCCATCTTCATACCTCAGAACACCAGGAAGCATGATCTTGGCGCCGTAGCAGATGGCATTAACCTGGAAAGGTGTAAGACGAAGGCTGAAAAATCTGGTTGAGAATGTAAAGTTACATGGTCTTAACCAATGCATAACATTGACTCTGCAAATTTATTCAGCCACTAAATACCAATTGGTGCTGCCCCACTGATAAAATGATATTTTTTCATGTATGACTTAAGAGCACCTCCTCCCACGCTCCAGGATTTAGCCATTGCTCCTCTACGCTGATTCAAAGCACCCCCTGCTATTCAGACCTGCACACTGCCTCCTTGAAAGAGATGCTGGTGGTTGTTTATAAGGATCTGGATCACCACCACTAAAGTTATTTGTTACTTGTTGTCCAAGCTGGAGGTGAAGTTAGGGTGAAATGCATTAGTGTCACCCCACTGTCCCACCACCTGCTGATATTTTCCAAAGCCATTCAGGAACTCACCGCACTGTCCTTCATAACCAGCCGTTTGTGTGAAGTCAGCAGCTTCTCCAAGGGGAAGATAACCCGCCTCAGATAACTCTCATCCTTGTTGTTGTCATACTGCCACTGGGCATCCAGTACATCGTGCATTGTCACCATGTGGTCCTGCAGAGAGAAATGCCCACTAAGTTTACCCTTGGCCCAGCCACCCAATCAAATCAGACCGAGAAAAACTGGCTAAAACAACGGTGAGAAATACATTGCAGAAAAAGCAGTGATGAATTCTGGGGTTCCCAAAAG